CATCACAACCGCCGGCACGTTCTCTCGTCATCCTGTCTTGTCATCCGAGCGACAGCTGGCGTCTCGCGTCCCGACTCGGCTCCTGCCCTCATGAGCAGACACATACCATCCACTCACATATCGCGAGCTTTCTATCCACGAATCAGCCAATGCTACCGTGTAGCAACGCCCTCGCAGAGAAGAACGCGCGCCGTGGCCACTTGCGCCACCCACCATGTTCAGCTGCGAGTGCAATGAATGCTCTTCTCCCGATCTCGCCACTGGCTCAAACTGCTGTCTATCCGGTATACTATGGGGCCATAGATCAGAACTTCCGTCCGGCCTGGGATCGACTAACGTTGAAGCCGGAAAGCTGCAATGCCGTCCATGTAACCGCTTTATCCGCTTTTCCCGTCGTTTGTTCGCTTGACCGACCAAACAACGCCTCTCCGAGGTCATGGCCGTGAACCTCGATATGTTTACCCGCGTACATCGCCGACTATAGGTACTTAACGCCGTCTTGCTTCATAAGTTTGTGGTGTAAACACCGCTGGTCGTCGGTCATACCTCCAGAGTAGCCCGACCCGAGTCGGACTCAGCATACTCTATCGAAGCTCGCCATTTTGGCGCTATGGTAAGCGAAGCCAGAAAGACATACTGGATATGACTGTGCAGACCTCGTGAATACTAGGTTCGACTGAACCGGTTCACGATATAAAAGCATTGTTCAGTCCTCGATGCACCGGTCGTCAATCTAGCGCTCGCAGCACTGGGTTTATCGGCACTCCGACCTAACGGGCCTATCACCTTTCACTTATTCTTGACAGAATCATCATGTCCCAACCTCCTCAACAAACAGTCTGGCGTCTCGGCGAGATCGGTGCCGGCTACAACGCGATGAAGCAGCACCGCGAGCCCATCCCAACTCCAGGCCCAGGCCAATACCTCGTCCGCATCCACTCCGTCTCTCTCAACTATCGCGATGTCGTCTACGCGAATGGGACGTACCCTCCTCCCGCTTTGAAGGCCGGTATCGTACCGGTTTCGGATATGGCCGGCGAGATCGTGGGCGTTGGCAAGGTGAATCGCGTCTCTTAGTCGAGCCTGTAGAGTGACATATGCTAATCTGCGTCGTTCTGTAGGATGCTTCGAAGTTCAAGATTGGCGATAGAGTCACATCCATCCAAATGCAGACGGGCTTATACGGCTTGACGAACCCACTTCACCCAGGTATATTCGTCGCGCCAACGCTGGGGTCTGTGCTGATTCGCTTCGCAGATGTCTTGGGAGGTCCTGCCGACGGAGTCCTACAAGAATACCGCGTCTTCGAGGAGATCACTCTCCTCCGTGCACCAGGCTACCTCACAGCAAGTCATCGCCCTTCACCCTTCCCCATTCACACTAACCTCACAATCAGTATGACGAACTCTCCACCTTCCCCATCGCAGCCGTAACAGCCTGGAACGCCCTCTACGGCGGCAAGACCAAGCTCATACCCGGCGAAACCGTCCTCCTCCAAGGCACAGGCGGCGTCTCAATGTTCGGTCTCCTCATCGCGCACGCCGCCGGTGCACGCACGATCATCACCTCGTCCGACGACGCCAAGCTCGAGCTAGCAAAGAAGATGGGCGCGACGCATACCATCAACTATAAGCGTACGCCGGAGTGGGATGTTGAGGTGAACAGGCTGACGGACGGAGTCGGCGCTCATCATGTCATTGATAATGTCGGGGTCAATGAGATTGAGAGGTGTTTTGGGGCTGTGGCTACGGGCGGCAACGTTATCAGCGTTGGTGGACTTGGAGGTCAGCCGACGGCTGTACCTAACATCCTCATGCTTGCGCAATTCAAGCAAGCTATTTTACGGTGCGTGTCTTCACATTGCGTCGAAGGGCTTGTGACTGAGACTTTTGTGATAGGGGCGTGATCGTCGGCTCAAAGCAGCTGTTTGAAGAGCTCTTGCGGTTCGCCGAGGTCAACGAAATTCGCCCTCATGTTCATCGCGCTTTTGCGTTCGATCAAGCCATTGAAGCTTTCCAGTATCTAGTGGACGCGCAACACTTCGGGAAGGTGGTCATCCATGTAACATCGCACTGATACCTCGTCTATGTCCCCTGTCACGAGTACTTCACAATCAGACTAGTTGAGCAAAGAGCACTTTCAGAAATGGCAGTCTATGTACAAAAGATGGACGAGGTGTAATGACACGCAAGCGACGAAGTAGGAGTATCCGACAGTACTGCGATGTGCGAGCACTGGAACACGGAATAGAGCGGCATAAAATCCCCCCAAAGACCGTTCGTCAAGACCGTCTTGTTCGAGTCGTCAGTGTTCATAGCCATAATCTGACCGTATTGCCGGAAGGTATCGTCATACAACGACGCCTCGTCCCGAAAGCCGAATTCGCCCGGCGAGTACAGGATACGACCAGAGTCAGCGGACCAAGCGGCGTGCCCGTCGTTCGCGAGGCTCGTAGCGAGCACAGTATAGTCCATCCCACCGGAGCGGATGGTGCAGAAGTACGCATGCTTTCAGGTAGGCAGGCTGTGCGCGTTTTATTCGAAGTCGTGTTCTACTACTCGTGATTGGAAGACAACGCGCGCACGTCAACCTGAACCGAACCTCCGCCGGCCATCAACGGCGCCGGCGCACAAACTCCGTTACGCCTCTTGCTCCCTGCCACCACCACCGACCGAATAGAATGTCTGCGCAAACGATATCTCGGGCAGCTGAAGCCCAGCATTAGCAAGCTATACTTACAGACTGCACAAGATACAAGACTGACACCTGGCTTTGCTGCCTCGTTCACCTCTCTCTCGTCGTAAGGCCCGAAAATATCGGCGGCGTCATACCAAGGGACCACCCTCTACCCAAAATACTCCTCCGCCATCTTCTGCACTTGGAAGATGTACCTCTCCGCCTCGAAGCACCTTCCCGAGACCTTTGACGCGAAACGGCGAAAGTAGTATCCCCTTTGGGTGCTTCCCAACCGTGAACATGATGATATTGCCCTTCGAATCGAAGTGCATGTTGCGATCTTCCTCACCCTCGTAGTGGCTGGCGACGGCCTCCAAGGAGAATGCCCATTTCTCATGATTCCCTAGCCTTATCCTCCAGAGGAGGGTAGATGTCAAAGCCACGCAAGATACTCATCTGCATACGGTGAGGCTCGAGCGCTTCACATCCGTACAACTCCTATCTACTCACATCGTATCGCTCTAGGCTTTCAACGGGGCGGGGTTTGAGAAAGGGACAAGGTATTGCTGCACGCAGACCCCCTCATATGACGCTGCATCACTGAATGACGCTGCAGCGTCAGTCGCCTAACTGGGTAGAACACGCGTTGTAGGACTTCTTCGTGAGGCTATCCGTAGACGCCACGCGCCGCCTATTAAAACTCGCCTCTAGGTCTCAGGCTCCCTTGGCTCCCGCCCCGTTGGTGCCCTCGACATTCGTCGTCGGAGCTGACGTCTAAAGCCTAGCCTTCGCCTGCTTGACCGCGGGCGAAGAGTAGGTCTAGAAGGCCCATCAGCTAGTGAATCAAAGGTTCACTCGCGGAGGGACTCAATAGGGCAGACGGACTTCGGCGCCCACAGTGTGAGTTTATCAGTTCGGTGTGGTCTGCTCGCATACTTATCCCCATCGCAGGCCGAATTGGTCTGCTTACAAGCAGTCTCGGACGCTTCATCACGACCGAGCACCGCTTCCTACCTCGACCTTGCCTGCTCCCCGCAGACATGGAAGAGCTCTCGGTATGTAGAATGCGCCCCACGTATGTCAAATCTCTCTCTACTTCGTCCTAGCTGGGCATCACCTGACGTCTCCCTCAGGTCGCATTCATTCATCCCTCTATCCGGACCATCAGCTATCGCCGCCACGGTGGCATGCTGATGTGTCTATGGGGCAGGCTGCCATCAAGGCTGGCTTGCTTAACCCAGTACGTTACTTTCTGCAGTTGTCTGCAAGTGGCTTGCTGAACTCTCCGCATAGCAAATTAATTACCCCAGATCATTACAGCAGCCGAATAATCCCTTTTCCCACGTAGGGCGTCCATTTGACTGCGGACTTTCACGTTCATTTGTATACATGTACTCGCGATACTGCCAATCCTATCTGCGAGTCATTGTCATACTCGGGTTCGCTGTATGGGAACCCGTATCGTCGCCGGTACTTGCTATTAGGCTGAATTGAGCTGAATCCGTCGCCCGAGTTTCTAATTGGTATGCATTCTCGACGTCGAACATGCACGTACCGGGAACAGCCTCTCGTTTCAAAGATAGAACTACCCGTTTAGACTGTTCGGGCATAGAAGCGAATACGTCGGTACAAGGTTCACCATGCGTGAGACCGCCTGCAAACGTCTATATAAGAACCTGCAGGGTCCTCCCTCTTTCCACCGGTTTCCGCCCCGCTGTGCTGCCCGCGCTTGTCGCCGGCACCAGTGTCTTGCGTCCTCCTCAAGACCTAACGCGTACGTGCACATTTCCTAGCAAGTCGTATATGCGTCTGAACTGTGGCTGCCGCAGGTCTGGGAGACGCCCCGAACATTACGGCCGATAAGGCCATCCCTTCGACCTCGCACGCCTGTCAGAAGACTGGCCAGTGCGGTCGAACCACTGGCACGGTTTGAGTGAGCCGCGTACGTGCACTCTTCCTCTATCGACCTGTGCTGTCGATTGACCCAGATTTAGCACAAGTGAAGCAGCTCTCTTCAAACCCTGTCCTCATATTATCCTCCCCGGACCATCGGCACCGCCAATGATGGCGGAAGCCGATGGTCCATAGGGCAGGCCGCCGTCGAGGCTGGCTTGCCCACTAATAGTACGCTCCTCCGTTGGCTGTAGCTGTGGTACGAGACACTGAACTCGTGCTACAGAAATCAAATAACCCAGATCATCACAACGTCGACTGGATGCATGGCCTCTTCTTTCCCTTGAGGCATGCGTTTCGGTTGCGTACCTATATGCTCATTGACATACATGTACTTGCGATACTTTCAATTCTATTGCGAGCAGAGCATATGAATATGTCAGAGCGCTCTCGTGCAACCAAAGTGCAAGAAGATGACGGTTCGGGATAAAGCGCGTTGATGCGTGTTGTCCTCAACCACCATCGCGCTCCTCCAAGGTTATACTCATGACCTTCTCTTGTCCTTCGACGACGATCATGTCGATGTCATACATGGCCAGCTAAGATATCGAACTACTGCCGCTATACTTTGGCTCGCAAGATAATGGTGCAATCATCATGCCTCGAACCGATCAATCGCACGCGGCACTGTCCTCTGATAGACCCAGTGTCAGATACCACAATGTGGCTGTCTGGCACGATTCTGCTTCCAACTTTGACCATGCTGTTCGTCAATGCGACATAAACGTTCTCCTAGACGTCCTGCGATCTCCTTACGTCTGCGTGACGTGGCCGAAGACTGGCTCCGCATCTCCCCGGAGGGTGTGCAGTTTGTATATGAATCGACCGGTCGTCACCCAGACCTGCGCTTGTTTGAGCTGCGTCGCGCAACGTCCTTGAATTGCATGTATTTACTTAAGGTGAAGTACTGGTACAGTTCATGGCGGTACTACAAGGGCCTGCCAATCTGCTCGACCCAATACGCGCGCCGGTCCTATCTCGCTTCGCCCACGCACAGGGCAAGAAGACCGAAGCGCTTGCAACTTGAGAATCGCGCATATTGTGCCGCCGTGCGAGGATACTGGCTTCGTTGAAATTGGTTGGAGAGAGTACGTCCAGTATTGAATCTACAGATGCCGCCGGAGAGCTTATCAGGAACAACGTCTAGGTTTAAGGAACCGGGGTGCTCACCACCAGCCGCTCGCACTGCCACCTCCCATCACCATCATGCACAAAGACGTCTGCGGCATAGCCCATCATGCTCTTCGACTGATCATGCGACGCGCGCACATCCGTCATCATGAGCGCCGCCGAGCTCGCCCTGGCTGCTCGCCCGAGGCCAGTCAGCTTGTCTATCGGCCTCCATTCCTTGAGTGACGGAAGATCGGCATCCCAAGCGGCGGTCGTTCGTGAGCGCTGAGAAAGACGCGTAGCAGGAGTCGAGTCTATGGACGAGCCAGCGGCCGGACGGTGAGCGCTGCCTCATGTGAGGCCGGAGTTAGGCACTGATGCTCCGATCGATATAGGACGTGTCCGAGACGATGTAGAGAGCCTGGCGCTGTCATTGGGCTGAGTATGCATGGCCTTTCGAGCATCGAGAAGGTGCATGGTTCGAAGGAAGTTGCCCAGCTCGCGCGAGCGTACTTTAGTATCCCTCAGTTCAGGGTTGCAAGCGCGACCCTGAGCAAACGGTGATTTCGGCGGCTTGACTGCGTTCTCGTCAACAAAGCTGCTTGATTGTCACTTTGATCTCCGTGCCTGGCACGCATTTGCCTCTGTGGCCCTCCGCAGCGCTCCGCCGACCGTCCGAGGCGCGCATCTGCATGCTCGCTCGGAGTAGCTCACTGGCCACTCCGCGGATTCTTCTACATCAGGGTCTCGTCCGACCTGGGGCATAGCCCTGACACCGTTGTACAGTCTATCCGACGAGAACGCAGTGCGCTGCTCATGAACTCGAAACTTCCGTCTTGATGATCGGGTCGAGGTACATTGTGACACGCAGGATATTACTCTGTGAATGACACAGCATGCGCCTTCAATCGACAGACCCCTGCACTATAGAGCTCTGTATAGCTGACATCCCAGATGGGATGGCAAAAATACTGGTGAGCCTGGTCTATCCCTCCACTCCTACGCATATACTTACATGCAATGTACGGGAGATTCAAATCGGCAAGCGTGACGAAAGCTGGTACTTCACCGAGATCGATGATCATCCGTTACATGACCCGACAGGTCCAAACCGTCACTCGTGGATTTTGGGGTGGCTCACGATTCCGGCCAGGGCAAGATCACGGACGCCTCGTCGGATGCGCCGGTCTCCCAACATAGCGCATATATAAGCTCATTAGAGTACGCACCAGAATCCTCACCTCCTCTTTTCCTCCTTCCTTCGGGTCGCCTTCTTCTTTCTTATTATATTTTTCTTCTTCTCACCTTTCTTTCTTTCAACGCACGTCATGTTCTCCTTCGCCACTCTCAGCACTCTCCTTTTCGCCGGTGCCGCGATCGCTGCTCCCAGTGTTCCCTCTGTCACTGTTCAGGCAGAGGATGCCGAGGCCAGCGCTGCTCTTGCGGCTCAGACGGCCGAGAAGGTCGCCGCTCTCCGTAACGCGCCGACGTACATCGACCGTCTCAAGCTTCTCGAGGACAAGGACTTCGTCTTCGACTTCAAGAACCCGCCTACCACCGACGGTGTTACGCGCGGCGCAGGTGGAACCACGGTCAACGGTATCCCTACCAACTTCCCTGCCATCACCGGCACGGGTGTGTCCATGAGTGCGTCCAGTTCTTTGCTTTACATCCAGAATGTATACTCACCTCATCCTCCAGCCGTCGGTTTCCTCAACCCGTGCGCGATCAACAGCCCGCACGTCCACCCTCGCGCCTCGGAGATCAACTTCTCGATCAACACCACCCTCCAGGCAGGCTTCCTCCTCGAGAACGGCGATTCCTTCCATCTCGTCGACATCCCGGCTGGCTCTGCCGTCGCTATCCCGCAGGGCGCTATTCACTTCGAGATGAACCCCTCATGCGAAGCCGCCATGTTCGTCGCCGGCTTCAACAACGAGGACCCGGGTGTCACCTCGATCGCTCAGCGCTGTAAGCCCCTCTCAGCCTTTATGCACTCCCGAACCTCATCTCATGATACCATTCAGTCTTCGGTCTTCCCCCGACGGTTGTCGGTGCAGCCCTCGGCGGCCTCGGCGTCGTCGAAGTCTCCGAGCTCGCCTACCTCATCCCGGACAACGTCATTCAAGGTGTTGACGAGTGCCTCGCCCGCTGCGGTCTCGAGCCCACCAAGCAGACCACGGCCGAGCAACAGCCGCGCATCTCCGCCAACGCCTACCCCGAGGGCGCGCTCGAGTCTGCCACTGAGGCTCTCGCTGCTGCGAACACCGGCGTCGCGACCGCGATCATCCAGCAGACCGCTGCTACCGCGACTGCCGATGCCGCTTCCTCGTCTGCGGCTCCGTCCGCGACCTCGACGTCTGCGTGGAAACGCAACGCGTACCCTCAGCCCACTGTCTTCCCGGCATTCTGAGTGTTTCCTACCTGGCCTAGCATCTCTTGTGTTGTATACATGACTTCGAACCATTTACGTGCTTTTACTTCCTGCGGAGTGTGATCAGCGTGAGCCTTGTGAGCATTGAGATCTGACTCAGTTGAGCTTGCATGCACCGTCGAGACTGCATCAGTTTTGGGCAAGTCAGTACTGAACGAACGAAGATGATTTGTTTTGACTGGTGACTGGATACAGCACCCAATATCAGTCAAGAAAGTAAGGGCTTCGATCGTATGGCCGTACCCACCTACTCGGCGCGTCTACATACGAACTTCGCTGACTCACGCAAGACACACGACGCCGACGCTCGCCTAACGCGCTTTCGTCTAGTTCACACAGGGAGATGCAGCACACTCATACAATAGAATTGAAGAGATTATACGAAAGTACTACAATGCCACCGAGCCCTGCGAAGCTACATCCAGTCCCGACTCAAAACATCCATGACGAGCAAGCCTGCAATGTCCAAGGCCACAACAAGCCCACCCGTGCCTCGAACCAGAACCGGGATGCCTACCGCACGTCCGAAGACACACGGCAACGAACATCGGCGGCGGGATGATCTGGGGTAATTGATTTTCAACTACAAGAACGGAAAAGTTAGCGCTCGCGATCACGTATGCCATGAAGCGGAAGAAACAACGTACATATAGATGTTGACCCATGAGGCCAACATCTCCTGGGCATCGTCATGATACCGGGGTCCTGTACTTAAAACGCGCAGGTCCGCGATCCCGATGCGGCTGACGTACGTCTGCCGCATCCATCCATCTCGAAGATAGAGCCGCTCGTCCGACTTGGAGGGCTGGAGGGGGTAATCCGAGAGATCCTGGTCAAAATTGTCAGCGAATATTCAGGAAAAAATCTCGCACAGCGTCAACTCACCGAGAATATTTCACGCGCAGCTAGATCGTGCGTCGTGCGTCAGCATCGTCCTAGATGCTGCCGGCGAATCGCCCATGCCGTGATGCAGGGGACCAGCATAAAGAGTGCCAGGCTAATCGTTAGCCGCTAGCGAAGGGTGTCGACGCGGTGTCGACGACGGATGTCGAATGATATCGACCGATGACTGTAGGCTCTAGTGTCTTGCTGAGCCACGTAGGGGTTGCCTGACCTAATCCAATAGGTCGCTAGCCGGAGGGGTGTCGAAAACGTTTCGACCGAAGGTGCTACGGTGTGCTGACCGTGCCGAAGGGTGCGCTCGCTGGCGCCGATTACGACGGGCTCATGCCGCCGGGGATGCCATCGTGGCCGATCCGAAGAAAGGAGCAAAGCGGCGAGCGAGCAAGATAAGCTGCGCTTAGTAAGAAGTTCCCAGGCAATGCGTGTAGCGCCCGCCGAGCGCCCGGCCGAACAGGGCCGAACGCGCCGTCAGTGTGCTTGCTCTTACCGATAGCCAATGCCGTGGTCGTGCGTACAAGATTCGTAGCTAGTATGACCGTCGTGACACACCAGAATTTCAAGTAGATCGTATAGACTGTGCAGCAGGCGTGCGAGGGAGAAGTACAAGTGAGGGAAACTAAGAACGCGAACGCCCGGGTGCCAGCGCAGGGCCAATCAAGCAAACGACAGTATGAGAGCATCACCCCTGCCCACGAGTCAGCCCACACGCCTCGCAAACCAGAAAGAGCGGATCGTTGACCCTGTCGTAGACCGCGTCAGTGATACGCTTCATCCTGAAAGTAGGAGATCCGACGTACAGAGTGCATATACTGCAAGTCCACGCCTCGTTCGCGCCTTGTATTGGGGGAGCCACTGAGCCAAGCGATGGAGTGGGTATGAAAGTCGGCTCAGAAGCTGGGACGGAATCGGCAAGTGCAGGTATGGCAGGTATCAATGTAGGTGTCGGCACGGACGCGCGTGTCGCTTGAGGAGCTAGCGGTCGCCGAGCCGGTGCAGCTACTGATGCAGGCGCCGGAGCGTGAGCCGCTACCGCACGCGTAGGCGCATGCGCGGGTGAAGCCGAAGTCGAAGCGGACGGCACAGACTTCTTGACCGCCGCATGAGGAGGCGCCGTCTTTGACGGACGCGTAGGATCCGCCTTCTGCAACCGATCCAAAGCAGCAAGCCTCGCCTCTCGATCCGGCATCCTATCACCTCCATCCCCACCACCCAAAGTCCTCGCAGAAGACGTCCCACCCAACGTACGTCCGCCAGAAGTCATGCCGAGTGACTCGGCCCGACGTTGTCGCATCTCGTCGCGTACGAGGTTGCCTAGTCCCGGTCCTGGTGCGGGCTTTGATGGAGGCGGTGGAGCGAATGGAAGCGTTGTTTGAGTAGGGATAGAAGCTGAAGGTGCCTCCTTCTTTGGCTGAGAAGATGAAGGCTTAGGCTTGCTTGAAGGCTTGGGCGAGACGCGCCCCTTGCTCTTCGCGTATCCGGTAGTGACCTCGATCTCGTCGTCAGAGTCAGAGACAAACGGGTCCGTAACCGTCTTCTTCTTCAGCGTCGGTCCCGTCTTCTTTGGCGTTGTATCCTTCCTAGCCTTGACAGTCTCCCTCGATGGCCCAGCAGCGCCAGCGCCAGAGCCAGACGCCACAGGTTCCTCATCGCGCGCACCTCCAAAAGCAGCCGCGCCCTCAGTAAGACCAACGAAGTCCCCATCATGCCCATCACCGCCCATGTCGCCCCAGAAGTCCTCGAGCATGCCGGGTCTCAGCTTCGTCAATCCGTCGTCTTTCGCGTCTGCGAGTGCGCGTCGACGTTCGGAGTCCGTCTCGGGCACGATCTCGACTTCGTCGTCGGTTTCGTCTTCGGTCGGACTGTCATCGGGTGGAGGTGTGGGTTCAGCTATAGACCACGTTCATCAGATGCTGTATGATTTTAGATGTGAGGAACGAGGGTACCTTGTGGCTTGCCTGCTAATGCAGCCAGTCGCTTCTCCACAGCTGCCGCACGCTCCTCCCGGGCACGTTTGCTACCGGCCTGCTTCCTGAAGCCCTTGCCCTTATCGTCTGAGCCGGTATCAAGAGCTTGTCCAGAGCCTGTAAAGACGTTGGCGCCGGTCACGCGCGAGCCGGCTTTGCGTCTCTTGGTTGTTTGAGCGCCGGTGCGAGACGATGCACCGGCGCGTGGCTGGCGTTGCCGTCGCCGACGTGAAGGACGAGATGTAGTCTGTGCACCACCACACTAGTATGATATCAGTACTGCATCAGGTTCATATAAATGTGCACAATTATACTCACGATATATTCTGGTAGTTCTCCAGCCTCCTCACTCAGCCCCTCAACGCGCTGCGAATCCTTCAACCTCGTTCCCGCCGACCACAACCCATCACCAAAGTACCCCTTTGCCTGCAGCACTCGCACCTCCCAATTAAGCTGCCTCCACAGCTTCTGAAAGTCACTATTGTGATTCATATGCCGTATATGCGCCAGTTCATGGCAAAGCGTGCTCATAACATGTCCATGCGGCAACCAGCTCCCGTCCGCTCTCCTTAACACCAGCTCGACCGTCTCTCCCGCATTCCAGTTGCGCCCCCAGAAGACTTTGTTGTTCTCGTATTCTTCGAATGAGTTGACTACGAAACCGTGCGCTTTCATCACGGGTTTCACTTGCGCGGCCAGAGCGCGTAGGAGCTGCCGTGCAGACTCGGTTTCGGCAGATGTGGAGGCAGGGAGAGCGGTGATGAAGTTGATGTAGGGGTTAGGGTTGGCTTCGGTCTCGTTTAATCGGAGATGCACCATGGCGGCGAGGTGGTGGTCGTGGACTGAGGTAAGTTGTGAAGTCCCGTCGCGAGATTGCGTGAGACGCGTCGCGTCGCGGGGGCGTGACCGCGTTATCAAATGGCCGCCGGCGAGGCGCACGTCGTTGCTCTTCTCTTCCGACGTCTATCGCGGTGCTTCGCATCGAAGCTCAGGAAGAGCGCCTGCCTCGTAACGATACAGAACCAGAGGCGCTAGTTATCAATTGCGCGTGCAGGCGCGTCGGCGCCCGTCGGCGCTGCCCGTCGCGTCGTGTCACGCAGTCACGCTTGTTTATTAGTCGCGTAGTAGCTCGCATCCTGGTTGCTTTGAACCGTCATGGGTGCTGCAAACATCGAATACTATCCAATGACGGGTGTCACTGTCTCCATGCCCAGTGCCACACGACTGATGACCGCGACAATCAGCCAATCTTAATAAATTCCTCCCGCATTCCGTGTCAAGCTCTTCGTTCACTCGCTCTACAAGTACAGCATCGCCCCTCCCTCAGAATGACAATGTGTGGGCAAAAAAGACCACTTATGGGAAGCTCTACCTCTCTCGCTTTCTACGCGGATGCTCACGGGCGGGTATCCAACTACACTCGTGACGGCCTATCAGAATGGAACGATGGAGGGCACCGCCTCAAAAGGAGAGCATAAGGAGGATGTTATCTCCAGTGCCGATTTCACAAACCGAACATGTCCTCCCCCGTTCAACTAGTAGCCTCTGAGAAGGATGTCAAGGCGGTGACCATCTACAAGTCGGACAGGGCTGAGGTGACTCGCAGCTTCAACGTGATCTTACAGGTGCTGCCCTTTCTCTGCACTATACATTGGCTTGCCTAAGGCTCACACTCTTGATTCCAGCGCGGTCGCAATGAGGTCTCGATACTCGGCCTGTCAAGCGCTATCGACGTCGACTCGGCTCGCGTCACCGGCCTAGGCGACGCGCGCTTATTCGAGGTCTCTTGCAAGATACAAAAGCCCGACTCGTGGGACGTTCTCCCTGATTCAGCCACCGAACGCAGACGCACGCTCGAAGCAAAGAAGGCCACGCTGGCACAGGAGAAGTATAATGCGGAGTCGGTTGCGCGGCTTCTCCGCGAGTACGGGAAGACACTAAACGGGCAGAGCGTGCCTCCTGCGGACGCCGACGCGTTTTTCGACCGCTATCTAGCGCGCAGCTCAGACCTCGCGCGCACTGGTGCTCGACTCGACGAGGAGATGCTGCAGATACAGCGGGAGATACAGAAGATCTCCGCTGACGGCTCGGCAAGGAAGGGTCACACTCACGGTCGAGTCACGGCCGTGATCATGGCCAAAGCTCAGACCGAGGCTGTCTTAAAGCTTACATACGGTCAGCCCATGATTTACTCTTTCCTACCATGAACCTTTGTAACGCCGATCTCTATTTCGTGCAGTCGTTCGGCAGGCACGCTGGAAACCCTCATACGAGTTACACGCCCGCTCCGATCAAGATGGCATGCCGGCATCTTCCGTTGCTCTTCATTACCGAGCGACTGTCATGCACACGACGGGCGAGAGCTGGCGCGGTGTTACACTTGTTTTAAGCACAGCGCGCCCGGGCCTTGCAGACGAGTCCATACCGGAGCTAAAACCATCCCGACTGGTACCTCCCGCTCCTCCAATAGGCTATCCTCAGGCCATGGCCTTGGCAGGAGCACCAGGCGTATTCATACCAGCCCCCCCTTCTCTGACCCCTACACGGTCGCGGTCTCGTTCGCACTCTCCAGTATCTTTATTGGCAAGGCTGAGAGCCTCGCATGGACCAGCCCCGTTTATCGCTTCAAGTGCCTCGGAATCAGAGTGGGTGGCTAGTGACGAGGAAGAGCCCGCTTTCGTCACTCCGTCGTCTTCATTTGAGCCCTCGACTTCCATCGCGAGGGAGAGCCCTCTGTTCATCTCGTACAAGATCGACGGAGAGTCAAGCATCCCGAGCGACGGCGAGGATCACACAGTCTCCATCGCCGAATTGCCCTTCGAAGCCTCGATAACGCATGTCGTTGTACCGAGGATCAAGGCTGTCGTGTATCTGGAGGTACGCATATCTCTCTCTCTCTTAGCGACCGAGAACGAACCTAATGCTCATGGGGGTTCAGGCCAAGGTCAAGAATACGAGTGACTATCGCCTCATGCCCGGTCCGGTCAACATCTTTTTCGATGACAGCTTCGTATCGAAGACCTCCGTCAAGGTGAGCTGCATCGGACGCTCATTTATCCATGGCTCCTGACGGTACTGCTAGAATATCGCTCCAGGCGGCGACTTCACTTGTACCCTCGGGCCTGACATGGGGACGCGTGTCACATACAACCGCGTCTCCAAGTTGGAGACCGACGCTCAAGCAAGCCGTTTCTCCGAACAATACTCAACGACGGCCTGCTCGGCGAGTACAACCATCGTCAATACCCATCCATTCGCGCTCGCGACGTTCGTCGTGCGAGACTCGCTCCCCATCAGTGATGACGAGAAGCGCGTGCGCGTCGTCCTCCGGGAGCCTGCTTTGCTCGCGGAGGCCGAGCAAGGAGACGAGAAGGACGTTGGAGGGCATAAGGTCCGCTGGGCGGATACACAGGGACGGAAGGATGGCCTGTTTGAATGGGTCTGCTCGGTTGACGCCGGGAAGGAGGTTACATTGTCGACGGCCTGGGACGTCAAAGCTCCTGCCGATGTCAAGTGGACTGAAATTTCTTAAGACTCTGCCAGCCAGGCCCGCATGCTTCTCCACTGTATATAGCGTATGCGCGAACAAAGTGACAGATTATATTCATCGATGATCGAAACGCGTGAGTTCATTGGTGGAAGCATCGCCCGGGTCGGGTTGGATTCGGTATCGTTCAGTCGGAGATGAGCCATGGCCGCGTGGTGGTCGTGGGTTGAAGCCTGCTGAAGCAAGTCTCAGACGCGTCGTGTCGCGGGGGCGTGACCGCGTTGAGCTGTGACCGCCGGCGAAGCGCGCGTCGACGTCGTTGCTTCTCTTCCGACGTCCAGACTCCATAACGATACTTCGCCTCGGATATCAGAAAGAGCACCGTGTTGCAAGCATCATATACTACTAACTGACATACGTCATCATCTGCGCTCTCACTGTCTCACGCCTGATGACCTCGGTCATCCATAGCTTTCAACGGATTCCTCCCGCATTCCGTGTCCAGTTCGTGATCCACACGCTCTACATGTACGGCATCGCTCCTTCCTCAAAACGTCGATGTATGGGTGAAAAAGATCACTTTTGGGAGGCTCCATCTCTCTTGCTTTCTACGCGAATGTTCACCGGCGCGTACCAAACCACACTCGTGACGGCCTATCAGAATGGAACGATGAAGGACACTGCCTCAGAGGGAGCGTATAAGGAGGATGATGTTTCAGGTCTTGAATTCACATACCGATAATGTCCTCCCCCATTCAACTGGTAGCCTCTGAAAAGGATGTCAAGGCGGTGACCATCTACAAGTCGGACAGGGCCGAGGTGACTCGTAGCTTCAACGTGATCTTACAGGTGCTGCCCTTTCTCTGCACTATACATTGGCTTGCCTAAGGCTCACACTCTTGATTCCAGCGCGGCCGCAATGAGGTCTCGATACTCGGCCTGTCAAGCGCTATTGACGTCGACTCGACTCGCGTCACCGGCCTAGGCGATGCGCGCTTATTCGAGGTCTCTTGCAAGATACAGAAGCCCGACTCATGGGACGTCCTCCCTGATTCAGCCACCGAGCGCATCCGCGCGCTCAAAGCAAAGAAGGCCACGCTGGCACAGGAGAAGTATACTGCGGAGTCGGTTGCGCGGCTTCTCCGTGAGTACGGGAAGACGTTAAGTGGACAGAGTGTGCCCCCTGCGGACGCCGACAAATTTTTCGACCGCTACCTAGAGCGCAGCTCAGATCTCGCGCGCACTGGTGCTCGACTCGACGAGGAAATTCTGCAGATACAGCGGGAGATACAGAAGATCTCCGCTGACGGCTCGGCAAGGAAGGGTCATACTCACGGTCGGGTCACGGTCGTGATCATGGCCAAAGCTCAGACTGAGGCTGTCTTGAAGCTTACATACGGTCAGCCGATAACGCACCCCTCCCTACTATCAACCTCTGTGAAGCTGATCTTTGCTTTGTGTAGTCGTTCGGCAGGCACGCTGGAAACCCTCATACGAGTTGCATGCCCACTCCGATGAAGATGGCATGCCAGCGTCGTCCGTTACTCTTCATTACAGAGCGACTGTCATGCATACGACGGGCGAGAGCTGGCGCGGCGTTACGCTCACCCTGAGCACAGCGCGCCCGAGCCTTGCAGACGAGTCCATACCGGAGCTCAAACCATCCCGACTCGTACCGCCCGCTTCTCCAATAGGCTACTACCCTCAGCCCATCTTACTAGCTGGGCCTTCAAGATCTCAATCAGTAGCATCAACTATGATGGTACCACCCCCCGATTCTCCAGAGGAATACCGTAGAAGGGAAGAAGACCTTAGAAGGGAGGAACAACAAAGGATGCGTGAAGCCTCCGATGAACGATATAACAGGTCTAGGAACTTGCAAAGACTAGCTGAAGATATCACCTCAATTTCTTCGGAATCAGAGTGGGTGGCTAGTGACGAGGAAGAGCCCGCTTTCGTCACTCCGTCGTCTTCATTTGAGCCCTCGACTTCCATCGCGAGGGAGAGCCCTCTGTTCATCTCGTACAAGATCGACGGAGAGTCAAGCATCCCGAGCGACGGCGAGGATCACACAGTCTCCATCGCCGAATTGCCCTTCGAAGCCTCGATAACGCATGTCGTTGTACCGAGGATTAAGGCTGTCGTGTATCTGGAGGTACGCATCTCTCTCTCTTAGCGACCGAGAACGAACCTAATGCTCATGGGGGTTCAGGCCAAGGTCAAGAATACGAGTGACTACCGCCTCATGCCCGGTCCGGTCAACATCTTCTTCGATGACAGCTTCGTATCGAAGACCTCCGTCAAGGTGAGCTGCATCGGACGCTCATTCATCGATGGCTCCTGACGGTACTGCTAGAACATCGCTCCAGGCGGTGACTTCACTTGTACCCTCGGGCCTGACATGGGGACGCGTGTCACTTACAACCGCGTCTCCAAGTTGGAGACCGATGCTCAAGCAAGCCGTTTCTCCGAACAATACTCAACGACGGCCTGCTCGGCGAGTACAACCATCGTCAACACCCACCCATTCGCGCTCACGACCTTCGTCGTGCGAGACTCGCTCCCCATCAGTGATGACGAGAAGCGCGTGCGCGTCGTTCTACGGGAGCCCGCTTTGCTCGCGGAGGCCGAGCAAGGAGACGAGAAGGACGTCGGAGGGCATAAGGTTCGCTGGGCGGATACACAGGGACGGAAAGACGGCCTGTATGAATGGGTCTGCTCAGTTGACGCCGGGAAGGAGGTTGCGTTGTCGACGGCCTGGGACGTCAAAGCTCCTGCCGATGTCAAGTGGACTGAAGTTTCTTGAAACTCTGTTATCCAGGCCTGCGTGCTTCTCTAAATGGTGTATGTACAATCAAAGTGCTCGTAATCTTGGTAGAAAAGGAAAGGGGGCGATTGGTCGGATTCGACGGAGCGTGCCATGTCGTAACCACTGAGCAAATGAGCTTCTCACAGACAGCGCCGTGCTTACGAATACGACAGTAGTTCTTCTATCTATGTGATACATAAAGTACAGCTTTCACTTCTATACAAACATTCTACCCAACGGAAGACCAATTCTCGCCATATCCTTACTTATTCGGCCCGATAATCTGCGGCCTCCCCGCAAGCTTCTCAACAGTCTCCTTGGTCCCCACCCACCACTGATTCAACCCCCTCCGATTCGCTACATCCGCGTTCGCCACCATATCCGGCACACCCGCCCACAGCACGCTGCTGCCTTGGATCGTGATGACCGCCGCGCTGTCGTCCCTCTTCGCACGCTCTGCCGGCGGCAACGCGTGCAGGTCCCACGCATGGCGCTCGATGAAGGACATGCACTTGAGCGAGAGCCGTACGGCGCGCGCACGGTCTGTGGGCGAGGGTGTGCCGCCCTGCAACGTATGGCCGAGTGCAGCAGCGCGCGAATCGAAGAGCGAGCCGCCTTCCTCCTTGAACATCGCGTTGAGCACATCGGTGTTGTACACCTTGCTTGATGTCTCGTTACGGATGACGATGCGGCCCTCAGCTTTACCGCGCTCGTCGAGGCCGTAACGCGTCTTGAGGAAGCGGACATCCGACCGGAGCATGTCGAGCGTGACACCCTTCTCCGGGGTGTAGACGAGACTGGCGCCGACTGCGAGCGCGCCGAGCGTTGCGATGTATCCACACTTCCCGCCCTGCGTCTCAACGACGAAGACACGGTTGCGACTAGCGCTAGCGCTCTGCTTGATCGCATCGCACGCATCGACAAGGGCGTTCAATGACGTATCGCTGCCGAGCGAGAACTCGGTCATCGGGACGTTGTTGGAGATCGTCGCGGGAAGGTGGACGAGAGGGACGCAGAATGCCGGGTAGTACTTGCGCGACTCGAAGAGGACGCGGAGAGCGGAGAACGCCTCGAATCCACCGATCATGAGCAGCGCGTCAAGCTTGTGTTCTTGGAACTTGGCCGCGATAGCGCCGAGGTCGATGTCCTCGCCGGGGAGCTTCCGGTTCGTGCCGAGCTCAGAGCCGCCGCGGACCGCCCTAAACATGAACCTTAGCATGGATGACAGTAAGGTGCAATGCGATGAGATGATCACCAGTTATCAACACCGAGCCACGAAAGCTCGTGGAGCGCATCGTCGATCAAACCCTTGAAGCCATTGTGGATCGCGATGGGCGTATGGCCCCGATGCAAGCAGTAACGCGCAGCAGCCCGTGTCGCAGCGTTCATACCGCCAGCGGGCGCACCCATACTGAATGATGGTTAGCTAGCGAAGAAGTGCAGTCTCGGAAACGAACGTACTGCATGATGGCAACACGCAGGCGCTGAGAACTAGGTGTCAGTTCATACAGAAAACGAGCAAGAATGAGCTTACCTTCTCCTTCGGCACCTCGTTCGCCGGCTCTGGCAGGTTGGCGGTGTAGAAGAAGCCCTGTAACGACTCCTTGAACTCCGGATCGCGCATGTGCATCGCACGGTCGAAGTCCTTCGCCTGGATAGCTTCCGCGACGGAGCGCGTCTGTATTGGCGGGTCAGTGCATGCATCTAAGATCGGGTAGCGAGAATATATATACCTGGGCGACGGCGTCCACGAGCGGCACACGAGTGATGATGTTCTCGCGGATGCCGATCATGTAGCTAGGCGTCTCGGGAGTAGCCTCGAGCAGCGCGTCAACGGCATCGAGACCTTGAAGAGTCGGCTGCAAGGGAATCAGCCTCCCCGTAACAAGACGCGCGTTATGGCAGGGCACATACGAGAATACGGTCCATAGCGCATGGGCGTCCACCACGCTGGGTATGCCCGAGCGTGGTAACACGCGTGTCGAGACCGAGCTTCTCGGAAAGGACCTCCTTGACGCGGTCAGCGTGGATGGGGTTGAGTTCAGCGTCGTGCGCGCCCTCTGCAACAATAACGATAGTCTTGCGCTTGCCGATAGCACGTTGCTGGGATATTCGTTAGTGCGTATTCGGAGAGGGTGTTCATGTTTCATGCGTACCTTGTGTACAGCCTCGCACATCTCCTCCTCCCAGTTGACGGTGGTCGGCGGCCTCTCAGGGATAAACACAAAGTCCGCTCCGCTGCTCACACCCGCAAGTAGCGCCAACCATCCACAATGCCTGCCCATAACCTCCAGCACGAACGCGCGACTGTGACTGAGCGCCGTCGAGTGAATACTGTCGATCGCCTCGCAGATGCGGTGCAGAGCCGTCGGCGCGCCAATAGTCATGTCCGTCATACTCATGTCGTTGTCAATGCTGCCCACGAGACCGACAATCTTGAGGTGACCATGCTTCTGTACTTGCTCGTCCGTGATACGGCCTTGTTCGCGCAGAGTTGCCACGAGGGAGGGCCATTCGGCGCGGAAGACGTCCGCGCCAGTCAAAGAGCCGTCGCCGCCGCACACGACGAGTGCGTCGATGCCTTCCTTGATCAAGTTGTACGCGGCTTTGAGACGGCCTTCAGGCGTGCGGAATGTCTTCGAGCGCGCGGTACCGATGAGAGTGCCTCCCTATCCATTCTGTCAATAGTTGCTCTGAATCGGGCTAGGACGCTGAGAAGGTGATGGGATGCGGTGACAGAAGAAGCGCGCGCGTGGGTGTGGCCAACTGTGGCCCTGCGCGGATGATCGGGCCGGATGCGGCGAAGTTCGCTGCTTCGGCGGAGGCGCGTCAAAGGAAAGGAGCGGGCTGTTCGGGGCGCGCAAGGCACAGGGATCAAAGTCAAGTGAAGCCTTGAGCATCATGCAAGGTTCTCGAGCCAGTCAGTCTGCGTCGCAGTACGTAGGACAAACTGGGCGAGATAGCCAAGGCGATCAAGATGCAGTAGCCAAGCGGCTGGGTGTAGATCTGCGGAGCCTCAGGCGCAAAGGCAACGAGAACGGTGCAACATGCAGATCATAGCGCCCAGAAAGCGCCCAGTACAAGTTCTGGAGCACGCAAGTCCCTCAACCCTGCCAACGTGCGCCCGATGCTGAGGGAAAGCGACACACACCTCTGCAAGCCAACTCCTGACATCGTCCCAACCGACGCGAACAATGTACCGGCCCTGTAGACTCCTTCCCTCGCTGACGAAGTCGGCCGTACCGTCACGCAATAGTCCCCCGTCGCCAAAGCGGAGGTTCTGAGTGAACGTTGGGTCGTGGGCGCGTGCAGTAGGGACTTGTGTGTTCAGCTCCGCTACATGGCTCGCCTGGCCAGCCTCTTCAGCTTCAGAGTTACCGCGTACAAGACCCTCGTAGCCTTCGCGCACGATCCACGTCTCGCACCCTCTGCAAACATGTCAAAGATCGGACTCGTAGATGAATGGAGAAGCGGACTTTAGGATGCCGCCTTTCACGACGGCACGCACGGCGGCGTTCATGCCGGCGCTGTCACCGCCGGACGTGAGCACGGCGAGCTTCATTATGTTGATGTAGCAGTAGAGGTGGTGGTAGTTGGAGGGAAAGATTTCGTCGGAGGCGCGCACGCAGCTATAGCAGACTCAATCCGCCGAGACCGAAGCTGGCCTCGGGCCTCGTTTGGGGCTCGGACTTTGGCTTCGCGCCCGGATTCGGGATGCCATCATGTTCGGCGCCGGAACGGCTTGTCGACTCGATAACTTCGCGGGTCTAATCGCGTCGCGGGCATCTGGGCTTGCCTCTGCACCTCCACCATCTGCAATTCCATATGACTTCGTCGCTACTCAGCGCACAGCTTCACACTCGCCTCAATATAGCAGACTGGGGACCGGTAGTGGTCTGAGTGAGAGAGCGGAATGCCCCGCGGAAAGGTAGTGCTCGTGCCGTGCGCGGAAGCGGCGCGCGGCGGCGGTGTGCGAGAAGACTTTTAATTGGCCCTCTTCGGCCAACAGCTCTGCAGGACTACCGACGCTGTACCGGAACCAGCTCCCTCTCTCACTAGTTCACTTGAGTCCTGCCCTGAGGGGATCTTGCCCCGTATGTGTAGCGAAGCTGAACGCGTATACGTTGCCGATTCATCGGCTTTTAACGTGAGACTAGGTCTTCAACCGTACATCTTTAGTTCAAGTACTATACATAGACCTATCGTTTCTCTTCATCATGTCGTGGCCCAACCTCATCCTCGTCTAATCTCACAGCCAGTTCGAAGACCTCCTTGACCTTCCTATCTATATCGCGCAAGAAATACCACGACGCGGGTATCGCAAGAGCATTAGCCACCGCAAGTGCCACGAAAGGCCATATCCTGCATCGCACATATGAGCCCAAACCCCAATCAGGACAGAACAGAGAGCGTACAGATTTGGATCGTGGAAGCTAGGCGACGCAGCGGCGGCGGCAGCAGCCGCGAGCGCCACAAAGAACAACTGAGACGAGAACACAACCGTCTTCATCCTCTTGGGCGCGAAGTTGATGGAGAGTTCGTAACCCGTGACGTTGATGAAGATGCCCGCAATGCCAGGCAGACCGTATAGCGGTAGTTGTGTCCATAGGCTGATGGGCGAGACGCCGGTGCCGACGGTGCATGTTGAGGCGGAGTAGCCGCAGAGCGATGTTTCGTAGACGCGCCATTGGAGGACGGCGCCGATGACTGTAGATCAAGCAGAGTCAGCTTGTTGTTCGACGGCGTGGGAGCGGGTAGAGATGAGTACGCACTCATTGCGATGGACGTGAGTCCGAAACCGAACATGATGCGCTTGAGCGGAGAAAAGTCGATGCCCCACCGACGAAGCAAGGGGTACACGCCATATGTGAGTATTGGAATCGCGACGACCTGCGAGAGCGCTTGGAAACCCGTGAGCAGATCGTTAGGTACACTGTCCCGCACATAGCATCAACGATCAAGTAGAGATGATCCAAGAAGCGCAGACGTACCCATCTGTCGTCATCGCCGCGGCCTGGCTAACGAGCAACGAGTTGAAGCCGAGGTACACGAAGATGTAGACGGGTAAGATACAGAAGAACCGGATGGCCCCACCGCTCCTGCGCAGCTCATCGACGAACGTATCGTCCCATCCAGCCTCACTCTTCACATTCTTCTCCTTCAGAGCGCTCTACAACGCGCCTCTCAGCTCGGCGTACTCATTGAGGGATAGAAGGAGAAACACGCACGGGCTTCGCAGCTTCCCAATTCGGACCATTCACGAACAACTTCCCAGGCCCAGCCGCCTTGCACGCTATACCGAGTACCTTGATAGCATCCGCTACAACCGAATGTTTCATGGGCGGAATCTTGATGAGCTTGCAGTAGTACACGAATGCGAGTACGAGCGGTAGGACGAAGAATAAGATGCCCGGCACGAGGAACGCTGTGCGCGCGATGTGAGTGACAGGTCCGGGCGGATGAATGTGAAGCAGGGACGCACCAAGCCAGAACCCAACGCGCTTCTCGATGTTCGTCGTCGCAAGCGGGAACACTGCGCCAATCGTAACGCCGAAGTAGTAGATCATGATCATGTTCTGCATCGTCACTTCCTATACCCCGGGTCAGCACACCCATCCCCACTCGCTACATAGAACCGCAAACGCACCGGATCGACAATGACCTTCTCGCCTTCCCTCGCGCTGGGCCCAAACGACACCCATCGTCTCCATCCCTGCGGTCTGCGCGAGATCATAACAATCGGAGAGTCGACGGGACACTGGTACGTGATGATAGGCGTCACACAGGCTTTGATGCCTCCTGAGGCGATGGCAAGGATAACGAGGGATATGGCGAAGGGGACGATCGCCAGGCCCGAGTCGAGTACAGAGGGCGCGGCCGCTGCGACGAGGATGACATGGCCTGACACAGTCATATTGATGTTAGAGACGGACGCTCGCAATTGGTTTGAGGGAGAAGATGCGCACCAACGATGCCGATGAAAGAGGAGACTACGATCGTCTTGAACATGCCCCACCGCGCGTCGGCGAGCATACCCGCTAGAATGGGAAGCACGTAGGAGAGGAATGAGAACGTCAACGTGATACCGCTCGCCGCCGGTAGTCCCAGTCCCAGCGCGCCAGCTGTAAGTGGGTTGATATCAGTATCGTGAGCAGGTGTATCTACGCGCAAAGTCGACGACGCACCTGTCTCTTGTGTCCCGCGCGGAGGTGCACCGGCCCCATTCCCATTGACAGGTAACTGAAGTAGTTCTCAGATCGGCTACTCGTGCGCGCTCACAATGACTTCATAACGTACCGGCCGCTGAATGAAGTTCTACCCCGCCACCAACCGCATCAGCACCGATCCTAACATCCAGCCATCGCAGCAGAAGACCGCACGCACCGAGAATACAACCGTACATCCAAAGTAACTCGCCCGTTCAGCTACATGGCATACAGACTTGCGTCAGCTCCTTTCATCCGGTGTAGCTCATAAGGGCACGCACCGAGTTCCGCGAAGCAGATGAGATACGCCGGCCAAGGCATCGGACCCGACACGCGTCTGAGCGTCGCGAGCTCGTGTCTCGTTGGCGGCCTGCCCTCATCAGGAACTGCCAGTTCGACTTCATCGTCCTCCGTGATACTGAGCTTCGCGTCATCGTCAACGACGGGAGAAGGCGGTGCGGCGAGAGCAGGCGCAGCCATGACGGAAGTCCGAGTCGTGCTTGTCGAGAGACCTCAGCAGAAATGTTCGCCGACCATATGTAGAGTAGTATATGAACACAAAGTGCGGTCCGGGCAGCTCGTTATCGTCCGTCTAGTTGGAAAGATCTTTGGGTGGACCGTGTGGTGCAGGGGCAGCTCCGGCGCCTGCGCATCAGGGTGATAATATTCGGTGATGGTGGCCGCTCGCGGGTTTGCCAAGGACGTGCCTCTCGAGTACTGTGGGTGTGCATTGGCCGAGTGAGTAGGAGTTGAGCGCATACACGACAGACGTCCGGATATGAGAGTTCGAGAGAAGACGCCGGTTGCCGTGACCCCGAGCAAAACGCGCGGCTCGCTTCAGCGACGCGCTTCGAGATGCATATCGAGTGTCTGCATGCTGCGTACACTACCTTGCAGGTTCCGTGCTCGACGTGCTGCATTCGTATGATGACGAGCTCCCAGCCAAGTCCGGACCTTGCTATGAAGCTGATATGGAAAGGAAGAACAAAGTTCATCGCTGGCCTCGAGGCGCGCACCGTTCCCAGCAATCCAAATAGTCGCCGTAACTGCTGGCGCCGACCTGGCTGGACGAAGAAGGGTAGCAAATTATAGTTCTATACAGGAGAGTCGCTGCGTCGCTATATGGCGTTGTGTGATAGAGGACTACATCGCGGTTCGCGCTCAACTGACGCCGGCGCCTGTTGTCCCCCGCGGATCCTCGCGCCACAGCAATTTCCGGCGTCCATTTCGACTTCCGGGCCTGTTCTCTTTGAGTCTTAGTATCTCAAGCTACCGGTTCTGACAGGAAGTAGTGTGTCGAGGGATGGAGCTCACTCATTTGCCCATACCCGTTTGTCAGTACCTGCTAGAGCGCCTAAGCACTTGAGCGCGCATCAGCGCAACAGCGCCCGGCGAAATTATAAATGTTGAATCAACTTCACGTCGACGCCGTCCTCGCCATCTTGCCATGTACTCACACGAGGCCGATTCGCGTAGGCGGGTGACAAGACGTCGGTAGACAAGAGTCGTGGCCGCTGAGCGACCTTAAGCAACGGCTAAGCGTTGGGCGGGCGTGTGAGAGTTCGGCTAACGACACGACGGCGGTTTGGGCGGTCGGCGGCGGACGTCGTCATACGCATTCAGCACGCCGAGAACAAAACTTGCGAGGCTCAGAACTTCAGCCGAAGCTTGGTCGACGCGCGCTGTTGAGAAAGCAAACTTGACGCACGCGCGTTTGGTCCGAGGTACTGTAACTTCGGCCCACCCGTGCTTCCAATGAATGTTCAGCGCTCATCACCCTCCACTTTATAAGCATCCACACTCGGTCAGCACATTTCAGTACATGCACCAATAGCACGAGAGGCACGTCCTTGCTTGTGCTCGACGCACAGAGAGACTCAGAAGAGCCTACACGCGGTGGCAAGTCAGGAAGTTCACACGTAGGTCATAGAAGCTTCGTATGGCGACAGGAAGATGTCGAGCGCTGTTGGACATCATGATTGTTCGCAAGTTGTCAGTGCGATTGCTATAGGCGTAGTACTCCCACGTCACGCGTCAATGGTTGGCGAGTGGTATGCGACGCGACTTGTCTCTACCCACCACCTGCATGCAGTTTATCCTGCTCTATGTACTCCATCAATGGCACAAGTACACTTCTCGGTACTATGCATCTTGGTTGACATGCTTCAACGAGACTCTTATCTGCGGCTGTAAGGCTCACTTTGACCAGATTCGTAACGTCTTTGCCTTTGCGGGGTCGGATATCAGCACAGCACCCGCTTCCAAATCATGTGGTGCTCCCGCTGTATCGATGATCGTCTGTATTCAATACCGAGCATACGCTGCATACGCTTCCAGGTCGCTATAAAGTCCCGAGAGCGTCCCGCAGCATGGCACACATCGCAACATCTTCCCCTTGAGGTTAATCCGCTCATCTACCCTCTTTAGCGTCCTACGGCCCATAAGCACTCCCCCTTCACCATACGTGGACTCTAGCTATGTCATCAAGTTACGAAAGGACGTCCTCGTACGATCCCGAGCATCCCGAGGACGACAGCCCTCACAAAGCGGCGACCGCATCTCGCCCGAGCTTGAGCATCCGCTCCTTGATGCAGCCGCGTAGCTTTGGCATCGGTCGGGCGCGTGCCATCATGCTTGGCTCTTTGGTGATTGCGTCGGCAATATGCGTCGCTCACCATTTCTTGCTCTCCTATCTCGACGGGAGGGATGTCGAGGATTTCAAGCTGTCTCAGACCTGGGTCCGGGACATCGGGAACGCCTTGGCAAAATTCGTGCAGCTCGCTCTCAGGTTCTCCAACGGAGTGGTCCTCACGCAGAGTGTACGTTATCAAATCTTGTTGCTACCATCAATTGACTTACGATGGGCTTCAGATATGGCTGTTCGTTCGGGGCAACCGCGTCACCTTGAATGATCTCGACACGTTGTTCGCTCTGCCTTCCTTTGAAAGCATCCCCTCGACCCTAATCAGAGGAAGTGTGCTCCCTGCTCTCCTGCTTTCAGCAGTGATAGAGACGCTCTCTCTTATTGGCATCTTTGCGCCAAATGCTCTATCGGTGGTACCCGCTGGCTCTCCCATGAATTCGACCATCTGGGTGTATTATCCAAACCTCTATAACGTCAATTTGAACCAAAGCTCTGAGTTCGAGACGATCAACTCCTCCGGCCTTGTCCGCTACAAAGGACCTTCTTCTGCTATGCAAGGGCTCACGCAAGCGGTCTTGCATAGCGGTAGCGTTCTGCCTGTGTCAGCTCCTCAGGAGTGTGGCCGAGGTTGTAGCTATGATCTGAATTATCGCGCTACTGCATTGAAATGTGAAGAGATTGCACCGTCCTCCATCGACGTGTACAACTCTAGTGCATCCGAGACCACACTGGCGATCGTAGACCCCAGGGTCCAAGTCTCTAATCCCACGCACTTCATGGAAAGTGCCTATGTGTATAACGCCACCGCTAGCTTCGGCTACAGTATCAACCAAACTACGACGTCTGCTCCGTCTTTGCGATCATCTCCCTTTGGGCAGACATTCTCTCTTGATCTCATCTTTGCCACGAACAATTTCACGTTACCGTTCACAACGAGCGTACCCATCCGTTACAATCTGACCGGATATTCGTGCGGGTTCTACGACGCGGCATACGACACTTCCTTCAACTACTCAGCTGAGGGCCAGACAACTATCGTCCGTAACGTGAGCTACGGTGTTCAACTCGGTCCTCTCTCAGACCCTGGGGGACTGAACGTGGCGGATATATATGATTCCTTTGAGGATATTTCGCCTGAAGACTATCTGTCCCCCCTAATGCCATTTGCAGCGCAGCTCCAGACGAATTATTCTGTTTTGGCCCTCGCCGACGCCTTCTCGAGATACTTCTACGGGACTCTAGCCTTCTCTACCAACTCGACTAACGATCCGGGACCCCTTTATCCAAGTGCAGTGCTCAACTCTATATTCGCCATCCGCTCGGCGGGCGATGGTGATACCACGTCTGAAAGTTTAAACACGCTATCGTTCTCCCTCATCTCGACGTCATACAATAATACCGCTCGACTATTGGAGGACGCGTTCGCGAATCTGACATTGTCGGTGATGTCGGATACGCATTTCGGTCTATACGGGGGATTGGATGAACGCATAACCCCGGCAATCGTCATACCGGACACCACCGTGTACAAGTACCAGCCCTCTCGCCTATGGATTGTGTATGGTATAGCACTTGCTACCACCCTCCTCACCAATCTCTACGGACTATTCTGTATCTTCAGAAACAAGGGTGCAATGCAACGCCAGTTCTCTTCGATCGCTGCATCAGTAAGGGCCCGCGAATTGGACACGCTCCTCGGCGAGCCCGGCGAGCCATTGCTTGCCCGAGCCGAAAGCGTCAAGCTACGATATGCAGCGGGAGGGAGTTCGCTAGGCGAGAGAGCGGGCTTCAGGATTGCCGACGACGGTGAAGTCGGAGACGAGAAGGCATCCGAACGTGTCCAGCTTTTGACAAGCGACGAGTCGGATGCGCGGTTTGCGAAGGTGCTTCCACCTTTCCCGGAGGTTCTGTAGCAGATGTCTGTGCTCGTCTGGACAGTACCCATGCGTCAGATACGTTTCGGTGACGAACTCATACACTATAGACACACGAACCCTTATTTCATTCCTCGAAACTTCATGCGACATTCCATTTCTGTTCGTGCAGTCACACCAAGGTCGCTTCCCATACTGCATGTGTTGTATCTTGCAATGTAGTCTTCACCCAGGACCATTATCCACTGACTTGAGTGGATGGAGAGAAATGAAGAGGAGAGATCTGCATGCGCAAGTCCACCCGACGGCAATAGTCATAGCAGAAAGAGGCACGGAGGTGAGCGCTGAGCGTCCGCAGCCGGCTCTTGGCCGGGTTTGGACCCCACCATGCGAAGGGGAGTTCGAAGAAAGTTCGTCGCCAGCGTTGACTCGCGCGCACCATTCCCAGTGCTTCGAATGATCGCCGTACCCGCTGGCGACCTTGCTGAACGAAGAAGAGCAATGAATTGGAGTTCTATGCAGGCTCAAGCACCGACCGATCCGATCTACGACCTTGAGGTAGTACTACATCGTGGTTCGTGCTCAACTGTCGTGGGCGCCTGTCCGCGGCTCGTCCGCCGCGGGTCCTCGTGCCACAGCAATTTCCGGCGTCCATCTCTACTTCCGGCATTGCTCTCTTCGAGTCCCAAGCTCTCAGGCTGTCATTTCTGATAGCAAGTAGGGTGCGTTGAGAGGCAAGACCGTAGAGCATACTCATAGGCCCATACCCGTTTCTCATTATCTGTCCGACTCGAGCGCCCAAGCGCCCAGGCGCTTGAGCGCGCATCAGCGCCCGTCGAGATAGGCGCCGAACCAACTTCGCAGCGACCCCGTAGTCCTCGCTCTCTCCTCACATAACTTACTGACATGAGGGCGATCCGCATAGGCAGGTGACAAGTAGGCAAGAGTCGTAAACGGCAGAGTGTTGTGCAGGATGCGTGACAGCTCGGCTAACGGCACGAAGGTTCCGATGGCCGGTGCGGCGCGCGCTCGCCGTTCAGCCTCTTCCCGCCACCACTATCGCCATCGGACGGGTCAGGGCAGGGGAACCTTTCTCATGTTTCTTTTTGTTGTCCTCCCGAAGAAACACATAGTGGTTTCGGGTGAAGGCTATATTGCGGGACACAACGTATGCAGTACAGTGGCCACGGTCTGGCTAGAGAAGAACAAATAGAATATAGGAGCGCGTCTAGGAGAAATAATGGCCCTATAGCGAATAGGATCGCCTCCGGGGCGCATGCGACGTATTGGTATTGTCCGAACGAGCAACGCCGTCGTCAGAAATCGCTGGGAGAGGTGGAAGCGCCTTCGCAAAACGCGCGTCCGACTCGTCGGTTGTCAAAAGCTGAACATGGCATGCCTTCTCCTCATCTCCGCTTCCATCCTCTTCAGCGATCCTGAAACCAGCTCTCTGGCCCACCTGACTCCCTCCTGCCATGTATCGCAGCCCGACGCTTCCGGCTCGGGTAGTCAACGGCTTGCCGGGCTCGCCGAGGAGCGTGTCCAGCTCGTGGGCCCGCACTGAGGCAGCGATTGACGAAAACTCGCGCTGCATCGCACCGTCGTTTCTGAACATGCAAAATAGTCCGTACATGTTGGCTAGGAATGTGATAGCAAGTGCTATGCCATATACGATCCATAGGCGAGAGGCCTGGTAGTTGTACACGGTGTCATCCGGTAGGATGATTGCCGATACAGCACCTCCCGCAGGCCACCCCGATAGACCAAGTTGAGAATACGCCATCTCCGTGCCCAGCGACGCTGTCAGATTCGCAAACGCGTCCTCTAATAACCGAGCGGGATCGTTGTACGACGTCGATATGAGCGAGAACGAGAGCGTATTCAAGCTCTCCGAAGTGGCATTGCCGCTCTCCACGGAGCGGATAGCGAAGATAGAGTTGAGCACACGGCTCGGGTACATGGGTGCCGAATCGTCTGTCGAGTTGGTGGAGAAGGCCAGGGTCCCGTAGAAGTATCTCGAGAAGGCGTCTGCGATGGCCAATCTTGTGTAGTTGGTTTGAAGCTCTCCTAGCATGTCGGCCCACCCATCAGACAGGACACCATCAGCGGGATAGTATATATCTGTCAAGTTCAGTCCGCCAGGGTCCGAGAGAGGACCGAGTTGCATGCCATAGTCCACGACATGGACGATATTTGTCTGGCCCTCAGCAGAGTAATTGAAGGAAGTAGCATATGATGCGTCGTAGAATCCGCACGAATATCCTGTCAGACTGTAACGGATCGGTATGCTAGGCGTGAACGGTAGCGTGAACTCATTCGTGGCAAAGATGAGCTCAAGAGAGAATGGTTTATCATAGGGCGATGACTGCAATAGCAGAGTGGAAGCCGTCGCAGTCTGGTCGATACTGTAGCCGAAGCTAGCAGTGGCGTTATACACATATCCGCCCTCCATAAAGTGCGTAGGATTGGAAACTTGGATGCTGGGGTCTACGGTTGCTGTGAAGTCGGATGCACTCGCATTGTACACGTCTATGGAGGACGGTGCAATCTCTGCACATTTCAATGCAGTAGCGCGAAAGCTCGCATTATAGCTGCATCCTCGGTGGCACTCCGGGGGAAGCTCTCTCGGTAGTACAGCACTGCCACTCAAGACCGCTTGGGTGAGCTGCTGGACAGCAGTAGAAGGTCCCTTATAGCGAACAAGACCGGAGGAGTTGATCGTCTGAAACTCGGAACTTGAGGTCAGATTTACGAGATCGAAGTTCGGATAAGGGACGAAGACGATCGATTCTATGGGAGTGCCAGCAGGTATAACCGATAGAGCATTTGGGGCGAAGATACCGACAAGAGAAAGAGCCTCTATTACTCCTGAAAGCAGGAGGGCGGGGAGTACACTCCCTCTGAGAAGGGTTGAGGGGACGCTTTCAAGGGAAGGCAGAGCGAACAGCGTGTCGAGATCGTCTAAGGTGACGCGGTTGCCCCGAACAAATAGCCATATCTGATGCCCATCGTGAGTGAACTGATTGTGATTATAAGTTGAACAAGATGTGATTGCGTACGCTTTGCGTTAGAACAACCCCATTGGAGAACCTGAGGGCGAGCTGCACAAACTTCGCCAACGCGTTCCCAATGTCCCGGATCCAGGTCTGGGACAGCTTCAAGTCTTCGACATCCCTCTCGTCAAGGTAGGAGAGCAGGTAATGGTGAGCGACGCATATTGCCGACGCAATCAACAAGGATCCGAGCATGATGCTACGCGCCCGACCAATGCTGAAAGTACGCGGCCGCCCCAAGGAGCGAATGCTAAAGCTCGGGGGAGATGTGGTCGCCGCTTTGTGAGCGCTGTCGTCCTCGAGATCCTCGGGTTCGTACGAGGACGTCCTTTCGTAACTTGTCGACATGTCCAGAGTCTACTTCTGTTTACGGGAGAAGACACCGAGGAGGGGCGTGGATGAGCGGTCAAGGCTCCGGAGAAAGATGGTAGGAGAAGTGCAATGCTGCGTGACGCTCTCAGGACCTTATAGCGACCACGTACCCAACACGGGACAAAAGGCTCAAAGCGTGTGCATCCTGTGTTCCGTATCTTGAATCGAACAGACAAAATCATCGATACAGCGGGAGTACCATAATCTGGAAGGGGGTGCTGTACTGATGATATCCGACCCCGCAAAGGGAGAGACGTGATGTATTTGGTTGCGGTGGACCTTGATACGGTACCGCAAACATCGAGAGACTTGATGAAGCACGCCAGCCAACATGCATAGCACAAAGACGGGTGCTTGGGCTATCGAAGGAGTACACAAGGTATGATAAGCTGTATGCAGATGACGGGCAGAGGCAAGTCGCGTCGCTTGCGCGCTTGCGAATTGACGCGGCGTCAGCGGGAGTAGTGCTACGCCTGTGCCGTTCGGCCTGACAACTTGCGGGCAGTAATCATGTTCAACAGTGCTTAACATCATCCTGTCGCCATGTAAAGCTTAAGTGACCTCCGCGTGAACTTCCTGACTTTCCCGTAGACGTTGCGAGCGCAGAACCCCGCACTGACTTCCGAGCATCGACGTCGTCCTCGCTCTCTTCCCACATACACGAGATTAATCATCGCTGTTTCTACCGCTAATATAGCTTACAAGCAAGAGCACCGAAGACACGAAGGACCTATATAAGACAAAAATGCTCAAGGAGAGTCCACTTGCCGGTGGACAGTCGTAATGTCGCAAAAGTTGAATCGGGTGGCCAGCGCGTTCGCGTTCTCACCAAGTGGCAGAGCGTACACAGCACGGTCGAGATCAGTCACC